TTTATCAGTTTTATTGGGATCTACAATCTTTTATCTCCTGTGGAAACATAAACATAACCTCTGCCCTAACTTAAGACTTTCCCTGGTTTTATACGGGCTGACCAAATTCAGCAGGTTTTTTTCCCCCTACAATCCAGTGTCTCTTAGCAGTTGCTGTCCCTGTTTCATTAGGTTTTAAAATTTTTTAAAATTAAAATTAGTAAAGCATTATATATTCTATCTCCAGGCATCCTCATATCCTCCTTCTGTTTAACAAACATCTTCTTTAGTGTGTGATTAGATTTTTTTTCTAATCTGTAACTTTTGTAGTTGAATTTTTGTTTACTTACTTTAAATCCTTAATAGTTAAGAGAATCTCCTCTTTGTATTTTTTCAGGAGAGATTTTTAATCCCCAATAGGGTAAATTTTTTTGCACCGCACTAAACATTCTTTTCCAAGTTATCTGTATCAGAAGCAGCCAATAAAACACCATCCTACAATGTTAAACAATAGACTGAGGCAATTGTTTGCATACCACTTCCAGTGGTTAATTTACAAAATGTTGACACAGATCTGGGTTATTTAACAATTTTTTAAGGAAGTACTTTTATTGGTATCTCTTTACAGACTAGGCTTTACTTTAAGTAGCTACTATAAAGACAATTTTTTTTCTATCCTGTTTATGTAAAGGAATTTTAGGCTGTAAAGATCCCATAGGTCAATTACCTTATTAACAGCTTTTAGATCAGTAAATATTTGTTTTTGTTTTTCAGATTTTTTTATTACAAATACTAGAGAATTTCAAGGCCTAGTAGTTTCTTCGATGTGCTTAGCATCTGACTGTTTTTTCACAAGTTCTTAGAATTTTTCATTAGTTAAGGACCACTGCTCTAAGCATACAGGCTTAATTGGCCATTTGAAAGGCAGAGCATTTGGGCTATCAACACTGGTCCCTACTTTAAATTTGGATAGCCAATTCCTGTCCTATCTGCCTTTGTATAACCTGCAGAGCCTGTGACCTTCTTCTGTAATTTCTCCTGATGCCCTTTCCAGGATTATATCCCAATTTAAACATCAAATTATGAGCTGATTCTGAAACTGTAGAAATACTAATTTGAGCTCCTCATTGTTGTAACAACCGTCACCCCCATAGATTCATGGCTATATCAGCCACATAAGGTTTCAACATTTCTACCTGTCCTTCAGGCCCTATACATTCAATCCATTTTACACTCTGTTTTACCTGAGATAAGGTTCCAATACCCACTAATTGCATGGAGACTTCTTGTAGAGGCCAGTTGAGATCCCAGGATTCTTGTGAAATTATAAATACATCAGCACCAGAATCCAATAATCCTTCAGTCTCAACTCCATTTAATTTTACTTTCAGTTTAGGCCTTTCGTCACTAATGATAGTTTGCCAACACACTGTTTTTCCAGTACTTCCAAAAATTCCGCTCCTATTCACTGGAGCTGCTTTGCCTTTTAGGTGTGGGAGTGACAGCAACTGCGGGATTCTTCACCAGCTTCTATTTGCACAGTCCCTTTTACAGGTGCCATAATTGTGATTTCTGTCTGGTAATCTTCACCAATGACTCCTGTGTGTACAATAAACCCTTGAGATGTTAGACTACATCTACCAAAAACTATTTCTACTGTTCCTTGAGAAAGGGGACCATATATCCCAGTGGCTACCTTATAACAAGGGATTTGTGTGGACAAAGTCTGCCCACTGCCAATTCTAAAGCAGCGCTCCCTGAGGTAGCGTACATTAAATCTCCAATGCTGAGTCTATGGTCCCTTGGTGGCTCTGTTGATTGGTCATATCATTGCTGACAGGAAATTGGTAGCTCATATTGTTTGCTACTGGGCCCTGAGCGAGGCCCCTCAACCAGTTTCCAGAAGGTAAAGGGTTACTGTGCATATCTCTCTTTGATCTGCCTTATTAGTCCATTGTTTACCTTCCCACATCTCTTACAAATTCCTGGAGGTTGAGGCTTTCTACTGGATCATCCTCTACAGAGGTATTCTGTTTAGTAACAGACCGGTAACAGTCTTTTCTTAAATGTTCCAGTCTCCCACAGTTAAAACATCTTGTATTTGGGGTTTTAGGGCCGTTAGCTATAGGAATTTGTAAGAGGTGAGTCTTCATTGCACGGACCTGTGTGAATCCACACACAGTGTCAAAATATTCACAACATTTAGGTGCCCAACACATGGCTTGAAGAACAGAGAAGCTGGCCGCATTGTGAACTGGGAAGACTCAGAAACACAGTGAGAATGAACTTAGCCTCTGGGCTGCAGGGGTCTTAGTCTCAGTGAACTGAAGTTTTCCCGTCGCCTCCAGGTATCTGTATTTTTTTTCCTGTATTTACACTTTAGCTAGTAGATTTTCATATCTCAAAACAAGCTGAATCAAGTTTTCGAAAATACAATGCCAGGTACAAATACCTAATTCATGAGGTACCAGGGTTTTCAGGGTTTTCTCTAAACTAAGTTTTGCATAGGCTTTGTATCTATGGGAAACTCTCAGACAAGAGTCACACAGGGCAACAAAAGGTCTCTGTAACACAAAGGATGGACTAGGGCTGTGTGTGGAGCCAGGCCAGGAATAGCCCAGCGGGAGATCATGGCTAGTGAGGGTTACTTACTAACTCCCTAAACCAGGCCAGCATGAATTTCTGCCACATTCTTCTCATAAGCTTGCCTGATTCTGGAAAATCAATATAAAGGTGTTTGTGGAAAGAGACAGTCTGTGCTGACAGAGATCCAGGATGATGCCTGTTACTGAGCCATTAGTGAAATTTGAAGAAAGGAGTAAATAAAGGGGAGTTGGTGAGACATCACTGAACAGCTTAGGAGAGCCAGGAAACCTTATTCACATGGGAATAGTCACACAAGCACCAAAGGAAACAGTAACCTACCTCCTTTCCTATTTCTTTCTCTAAGACACGGCGTAGTTTAAAAAGAGATGCACACTCTTAATAATATTTGTGTCTACAAAGAAAACCCAGCGAAATATTTCAGGTTAATGTAAAGTCTCTGTGCACATACAGCTGTCCTCATACACTGCAGGAAGAGCTTCCAGAGCAAGAGGTGGGCACGTGCACAGAAGGTGACTATACTGACTCACACTGAGAAGACACGGTGCCTTGCATCAGTGCAGAAGGTGGTAAAGCTCTGTGGAAAGACACCCAGGATGCCAGGCAGCCAGAGATCCCAGGGACAAAGACAACGCCCTTGATCTCCCTCAGAATCAACATTCAGATTCAAATCACCAACTTGATGTGACACTGGGAGGACAAAGTTTCCTGTTCTTGTGGGTTTAGTCAGACAACTTGATGAACTTCCGCTGGAATATCAATCCTGGCGTCTTCCCTAATGTTAAAGACCAGCTTCCCTCCTTGGGAAGGGGTTAAGATGCAAGCAGCAAAGGGTGGAGTCTCCAAAGACAGAGGCCTGAGGCCAGGGTTTACAGTAAACAGGATGCCTTTCCAGCCACAATAGAGGGTCTACCTGCTCCTCATCCTGGCACATTCATCTGTGTTACAAATATTTGTCATCATTTATGGGGGCTGGTTACAAATTATTATTGGTTAATGTATAAAAACAGTGCTACTGGTGTCAAATGTTTCACACTGGTACAGGATTTTATGTGATGTAAATTTAGAGGTTTTATTTGTTATTGTATATTCATGGTTCTGTTTATGATTACAATATATCAGACACCACTGAGGGAAACCACAAGAAAGACTTCGGTAAGAGTTATTATGTTGTCTAAAAAGCGAGAGAGATTTTGGTATGTCATCTGAAAACAAGGACAAAAGCAGGAGACTGAAAGAATTAAGAGAGAAAAAAATAGATTAAAGGTATATAAAAAGTTATAAAAAGTCAGAAGGAGAATGAACTATGTTTGCTGTGGTTTCTCATACATGCAAATACTGAATATGCTTGTCTTGTTGACAAGTTTGTCTATGTAAGTTTTCTTGCAAGGATGGAACGGAGACAGAAATGGTCTGACTATTTTTGCTGTCTCTGCCACCCATCACTGCTGTGGCCACATTTACAGACCTGACTTCAGAAATTTATCACTGAGCTCTGGTTACTGAATTTGGTTTAGCAGAAGTTCAGATGACTTTTTGGTATAGATAATGTTAAAACTGCTTTATGCTGTTTTTTATTATTAAAAACCTGGCTCTAGAATTGGATTATGGCTCTTTCTTTGTTAGACCCATGTTTTATTTACTTAAAATCTATGCATGGGTAATTAAAAAACCCATAAGACATAATTCTATTTTTAATTTTTAGATTGCCATTTTGCCAGAGTTAAAAAAATGGATGCCACATGTTTTCACTGCCATCTTGATTAAAGGTGACCATGTGGAGTGGGCCTAACAAATCTCCTAGATAGTTTAAATTAAAATAAATTTAAAAATATCATATAGGGTTTAACATATTAGAGTTGCACCTCAATGTTTTTATACTCAAAAATGTACCTAGCTCTGCCAGCTAGATTTTGTTAATTTAAGAGTCACCAGGTAATAATGGTTATAAAGACATAAAAAATTCATAAAAAAGCAGCTAAGGTTTACAAATATAGGGAAGACTAGAGCCCCAAAGAATGTGCAGTGGCAACAATGGGTCTTAATAGTTTAAAAACGCCAGTACCAGGTGATAGCCACCAGAAGCACCAGCTACAGTAAAATGGAACAGGCTGAGATCTAAAAGACAGGCTATGGATACGCTGTCGAGGGTGGGACCAAAGAACTTCCTTATTTTTAATATTACAGGAAGATATTTAAAAAATCTTAATTTTTAAGGCTGTGAGACATCTGTGCTATAAAATGTTTTATATTGCTAATATTTAAGCTTAAAATAAAGGCTCTTTGCTTTTACAAACAGTACACGGTCTCCTTGTTGGCTTTTGTGGGAACTTCGCAGATTTGGGCATAACATTTTGATTTGGCTTGATTGGAATTTTTGCATCGGCAGAGAGCTAGTGTTAGAAAATATTCTTAACAGTGGTGGAGATGTACATTATGTCGATGATGGAGAGCTGGCTGAGGAGGAAGTACATGGGGGTGTGGAGTCTTCGGTCCAGCCTGATGAGGAGGACCAGTGTGATGTTGCCTATCAGAGCTACTGCAAAGAGGATGGTGATGACTGTGAAGAGGAGAGCGTCCATCTGGCCGTACTGGAAAAGACCCACCAAGATGAAGTCTGTCCCCCAGCTGTGGTTTCCCATTTCCATGGCTCAGATTGAACCATCAGAGCAGACACAATCTGGAAGGGACATGGTCTGATGAGGACTGCCCTTGGGGAGAAAGGAAATGACAGTTAACGTATGAGATAGATTGCTCTGGAATAGCTCTAGCTTTCATCCTGTGCTTTAGCTACTGAAAAAGTCCTTTTTAGTTCTTTTTAATGTTTTTTATTTTGCTTAATCTGTTGCAATCATATGTGTTGATAAAAGACTTTGGTGTTTCAATGCATGACTGGAGGCATGCTGTTTTTAAAGACTGGATTCCTGATTCTCTGTCCTTATGACTTCTACACAGATGGAGTCTTCAGCCCCACTCTCAATTCAAGGTTTTTATAAGTTGTAACTGAAGTAGTCAGAGAAAACATTTTAAGATCACAGAAGGAAATCAAATGATCTTAAAATAAGCAGTTGCATCATTCTCAGCAAAATTTCCATTCCTCTTTGCAAATTCTTCGTGATAAGAGAGGGGAGCTCAGGTCTCTTTTCGTGAAGGCATTAACTCACTTAGTTCTCTAACTGTGTAAACAAAGATATTGGTAGGAGAGTCTTAGAAAATAGAAACAGAATTTATATAAGAAATGAATGAAATACTCAGACTACTACTGTGCAATGTAAAAATAAAGATGTAGTATGGCTACAAGAGGATTATGTAAGGCCAGAGAACATGCAAAACCACATTAAGAGTTTTGTTATGTTATATTATACATCTATTGCATAAAACAAGGAGACTTCTAAAGTAACAAAGCTAGCAATCTTTTTCAAATTCTCAAAAGATGAATTGTGAAAGAAAATTAAGCAGAAATTAATAGAGCAATTCAGAAAATGGTTGTTACTTTTTATATAAAGACTTCAGCTAACCCACACCTCCTGAGTATTCCCCAAGCAAGTAAAATGCTAGACTGCCCACAGTTTTGTTTTGATCCTAAATTTCCCCCGGGTGACAGACGTTATCCAGACCCTGGCACTGGTCACTACTGAAAATTTGGAGTTCCATGCTGATTTATTTCTTTAATGTGTGTGTGTGTGTGTGTGTGTGTGTGTGTGTGTGTGTGTGTGTGTGTATTTTGTTGGGATCAAACACCTGGCCTAGGCAAGCACTGAACCCCTGAGTTACCTCTTTAGTTATTGGTTTTTGAGGCTAGGTCGCACTATGTAGTCAGGTCTATCACCCAGGTCCCAAATAAAAATTAAAATATGTATACCATGCCATAGACATATATTCAATGAGTGACTGCATTAAGTTCTGGCAAGTCTGATTCTGTAATTACACATTTGTTAGATGTTATGGTCATTACGGGGATGCCTGTGCAAATTAAGACTGACAAAGCTCCAGCATATGTCTCTAGTAAAATGAAATAGTTTTTTTGATATTATAACATAAAGCATTTTAGAGGTATGCAAGCAATCCTACAGGACAAGCACTTATAGAAAGGTCTAACTGAACTTTAAAAGAAATGCTTAAAAAACAGAAGAGTAATGATGATACCCAGAGATAGATTACACGATACATTATTGACTTTATATTTCTCTCCTTCTTTCTTTCTTTCTTTCTTTCTTTCTTTCTTTCTTTCTTTCTTTCTTTCTCTCTCTCTCTCTCTCTCTCTCTCTCTCCCTCC